AAGTCTCAAACGCCATCAAAGACATTAAACCCAACAAAGCTCCTGGTACAGACGGTATACCTCCCGAATTCCTGATCCATTGTGGGAAATCTGCAAAAACCTGGTTGTCTAAATTCTATACAGATATACTCAAAACAGGTAACCTACCAAACCTCTTTAAACAAACAAAAATCATAGCCATCCTGAAACCTGGAAAACCAACAGACAACCCAGCGAGTTACCGCCCCATCGCTTTACTCAGTTCAGCTTACAAGCTCCTCGAAAGACTGGTCCTGAACAGAATCGGCCCAAAGCTACTTCAAAAAATACCAATTGAACAAGCAGGATTCAGGCCTCAACGAAGCACCACTGACCAAGTGCTCTCTATAACTACCTACATAGAAGCAGGTTACCAAAGAAAACTGAAGACGTCTGTGGCATTCATCGATTTATCGGCTGCCTATGATACGGTTTGGAAAGATGGCCTCATCTATAAGCTCCTTAAAATAATCCCCTGCAAAACAACCGCCCGACTCATAAATACTATGCTGAGCAGTAGAAACATTCGTGTAACCATGGGAACTACAGTGAGCAAACAGAGAACGCTTAATAATGGCCTCCCCCAGGGCTCCGTACTTGCACCCTGCTATTTAATATGTATATAGCTGATATGCCCCCTACCAGATCTAAAAAATTTGGATATGCAGACGACTGGGCACTTGCAACTCAAAGCTCCTTATTACAAAACTCCGAGGCAATCCTAACGGAAGATCTGGAACGCCTGGTTAAGTACTTTAAACAATGGAGACTTAAACCTAACCCCAAAAAAACCGAGGTTAGCTGTTTTCACCTGAACAACAAAATGGCCCACACAAAACTTAAAGTATACATTAGTAACCAACTGCTCACGCACAACCATAATCCCAAGTACCTCGGCGTCACCCTGGACAGAACACTCTCCTTTAAGAAACATCTTGAGAACACCGCAGCAAAGCTGAGAACCCGTAACAACATCATACAGAAGCTTTGCGGGACTACATGGGGCTCATAAGCAGGTACACTCCGGTGTTCAGCCCTTGGACTCGTATACTCCGCAGCTGAATACTGCTCTCCTGTTTGGCTGAATAGCGTCCACACAAAAATTATAGATACCCAGCTCAATGTCGCCATGCGTCTCATATCTGGAACGATCAAGTCTACACCTGTGGAGTGGCTTCCACTACTGAGCCATATACCTCCACCTAATCTTCGTCGTCAGCATGCTCTGCTTAGAGAATTCCAAAAGCTGCTTAACAACCCGCAATTACCTATACATACATATGTCGCCGACGCGACGCTAATTCACATCGATTGCGCTCCAGAAAACCTCCGACTAGAGATGCAATAAACTTGAGTTCCAACAATTTCCAAATGAACTCCCAGTGGAAGAACATGCAGAGCGACAGACCGAACCTAATAATGAGAAACACACCATGCATCACAGAAACTCCACCAGGTTTTGACCTCCCCCGAAAATCATGGTCAATTCTTAACAGGATAAGAACGGGTCATGGAGTTTGCGCAGATACCCTTTATAAATGGAGGATGAGAACCTCTGCTGAGTGCGACTGCGGCGCCGAGAAACAGACCATCCAGCATATGATTGCCGAATGCCCTCGGAGGAAGTATTATGGAGATCCTCTAGACTTCGCCTCTGCAACACCAGCGTCGATTGAATATATTATTACATTAGATGTTAGATTGTAACATATATGTGATAATGTTGTGTATCAAATTGCCATACGCTAAATAAATAAATAATGGTTCATTATTAGCTATGAATGCTGTGAATTGGTGCTGTATTACGTCGTTTTTTCTTACTACAAGAATTTTGGTCCTAACCTAACCTAACCAATTTTTGTATTACAAAAACACAAAAAAACCAAAATCAGAAAATTTAGAAAAGCAAAACCTATATTTTTTACTCTTCAAGATCTTTCGTACCACTAATATATTTAAAAAAATTTCCAATATTTTTCTTGTATTTTAAAACCAATACTACTGAACCAATCCAATTTACAAAGTAATGTCAAGCGGGAATGATCAATTTTATTTGGAGTGTTAATTAGAAGGTGATTTTCATGCTGCTTTTACCAAAAAAAAAGAGACCAACTTTATTTTTAGTCTAACTCGCTTACGTATGATTGTAGAGGTTAAAAAAAAACAAAAATAAAGCTTCCTTTAGACACTTTCAAAAAGTTTGGATGAGTTTTCCCCGAAAATTGCTAAATTTTTCGGTAATTTCACGTTTAAATATTCCATTTGTAATTTGACAAATATGAACCTACTCTTCATGAGTTGTAACTCCGGTTCTACTCGGTCTACAGACTTTATAAGTACACCACTTTTATTTTTATTTTTATACGCAATATTTTGCTTAAACATTTTTTCGATAAATACTTATTTTTTCTGCTATTTGTGAAAAATCATCATACGGTTCCAGACTTCCAAAATTCAAATATCTATTAGCTGACCATGAAGAGTTTTAAATTTAGAAGTTATCAAACTTAATTAAAACCAGGTATTGATTATTAAGTAGTACATTACATTTATTTTTACATATTTAACATATTGTTAAAAACATACATTTGATATCTGAGAATCTCTGATTAGCCATTTCGCTCTCCAAATGATAATCCAAATGACGATAGTAAACCCCGTAGTAGGCTATTACTTAATCTCATCTCATTAATCTGCCTCTTAATTGTTGGCTTCGTCGGAAGGTATATTGCCCAATTACGATGTAATTCTCTAATTTCAATCTCTCTTTGGGTAACATTCAGATTACATGTGATAATTTACATCAAAATTCCAGTTAATGATAGATTGTAGTATTTAGAGAAAATGAGTTAAAAATTTTCGTAATAATATTATAATAATAGCTTTAAAGAAAACATGCATGTTGGGGAACTATTTAATATTTATTTTATTACTTCAACTACTGAATTTTTCAGAGCGGCAATTAACCCGTTCAGTCACGCTGCAAGAAATAATACAAATATCTAAAAAATCACAAAACTATTACAAAAAGAAATACCTACACATTTATATTACTTGTTATGATGTATTTTAATAAAAATTAGAAGTGAGCGTTATGCGCTAATATCCTCACTTCAAAAAGTAGAAGTAAGGAAGCACAACACAAATGTGTGAGACTTAATGCAGTTTAGCTAGCTGGCTATGCCACATAATGACCAATTGACACATAAAACAATATTCGGACATGTTAACATACCCGTAGTAGTTAGTTAAATATGAATAAACGTAAAAACTAGATAGAAACAGCTAAATTGATGATAATCAGAGTACTGAAATCAGGAGCTTACTAAAGAATGTTTTTGTGCACCAGAAAAGCATCAGCGTTTACTTTTCAAGGTATCTTATGCTGTGTTGTACGAGTTCTATTAAGTAATTTCCGAAATTCTACGTTGAATAAAATAAAACTGTTAAGCAGTTCCAATATGCAATCATGTTGGTTTTCTTTAAAACTAAACAGTGGATACCCTAATATTGGTGCTATGCTATGCTTCTTCAAGGTATCAAAGGCAGTTTGACAGTCTTCATCCCAGCAGTAATCTCTTACTTTCTATGAAAGTTGCGTTAATGGCTTAGCAATATCTGTAAATTTAAGAAATCTTCGATAGTAAGTACATACCCTAAGAAAACTTCTCACTTGATGTTTGTCCGTTGGTTCTGGCCATTCCTTAATGTAATCGATTTTTCCGTTATCCACAGCCACTCCTTCTTTACTGACTTATAAGATAAATAATTGACTCCACTTTAAAATAACTGGCAATTCTTGGGGTTTAACATCAATTGAGTAGCTTTGGGACTATTAAAAACGTTTTCTAAATTCTTCATATAGTCTTCAAAAGTCTCATCCCAGATGATTATTTCATCTACATACACTTGGCACGATTTCCAAGATAACCCCATCAGCACGTTCTCCATAAGCCTCTCAAATGTCGTAGGAGCATTACAGAGTTCAAATGGCATAATGATAAATTGCCAGAATTTAGAACCGGTGGTAAAGGCTGTCTTTTCTTTATCTACTGTACTTTTACCTGCCAGTATCCAGACTTCATTTTCCAACTGCTTACATAGTGCTGTCATTATGTGGATGAAGAAATACCTTCTCGTTAATAACTTTGATTGCTTTATTCTTAAAGTCCAATTGAAATTGATGCATATTTATCATGTTCATTTCTAATATATTATCCTCTTCGATGTCAGCAACTATGACAATATGGACGAACTTTTCCGCTCTAATTCCCAACTGTATATTTATTTCTCCGTCGATGTTAGCATTTTTATCTATAGCGGTTCCACCCACAACCTCGTAGTGGTGTCTTACGGCTTTTTATAACTGTCAGGCGTATAATGGCCCTAGTCGCTCGGGTATCTACCAGCAATGTATGCTGTTTACTATTTATTTCTCCATCAATATATCTACGCGACATTTCAAAGAAGCTATTAGTACTAGATGGTTTTTGGAAAAGATTCTGGTCGACGTTGCACTCCTAGTTGTTTCTTGCTGGTGAGTTTATGGTTTTGTGTTGTACTTAAGGTATTCACTTGAACTTCGTACTATCCTTTTTCACCACAATTACAGCAGCTTATGGTCTTCGTTTTCTTAGCTATAATGCCTTTCATCATATTAACAAGTTGATCAAGTTTGTCTTCATCCTCTTCCTATATTATAGTTCTTACTTTACTGTACCCACCAGAGGTCTGCGTGAGTGATTCTTATTCGAATACAATTCTGGACAAGACATCAATCAGCGTCTTTTGCCGAGCTAATCGCAGTGTTCTCTGCATTTTATGATCACGAAGACCATCAATAAATGTCTGGATGGCCAATTTTTCTTGTCTTCAAAAGCCGTTGGTACTAACCTGGCAATATCCAGATCATATTCTTGAAGAGCCTCATCTCTCTTTTGTCTTCGATTTTTAGGCTGTGACTGGTCTTCTTCTTTTAGTGCCTATTCGTTTTGAATATTCTTGAACATTCTGGCTATATTAACTGATTCTTTAAATAGATTTGTTGTTGTTGTGGAGAGTTATTTCCTCAGGTTTTTTAACCATGATATTCTTCTTCTCCCAATTCCTCGCTTTCCGAATAGTTTGCCTTGAAGAAATATTTTTAGTAATCTGTATTTAGTGCAGTTTCTCATTATATGTCTTAGATATTTTAACTTTCTCCTTTTAATGGTATACATAACCTCTCTTTCTTTCCCTATTCTTTGAAGTACAGTCTCGTTGGTTATCTTGTCCGTCCATGATATCCTTAGGATTTTTCTGTATAGCCATATCTCAAAAGCTTTAAGTTTTTTCTCCATCGCTTCAGTGAGTGTCCAGGATTCAACTTCGTAGTATAATATCGAGAAGATATAACCTCGTAGGAGACTTACTTTTATCTCCAGATTAAGGTTGTGGTTTTTAAAGAGTTTGGCCATGTTGTTGAATACACTCCTAGCCTTCTCCATTCTACATTTTACTTCTTGGAAGTGATCCTATTGTTCGTTTACTATTATTCCAAGATAGATAAACTGATTTACTAGGATCACTGGTGTATTCTTGATAAGCAGTTGGACGTCTCTAATTTTATTTTTGCTGATGACCATAAATTTATTTTTGATATGTTTACTTGTAGTTTACTTGTGACTGATAGACATCTCTAATTGTTTATGGCCGCATGTCTAGTCTCTTCTTAAGTTTTTCAAAATATTCTGTCTCGTCTACGGCTATGGTCTCAAGCACATCTAAGGCATGTTCTTGAAGAGCGAGGTTTACAGTTCTTTCTTTTTCTGACCATCCATTTGCTATTGTAGCTGATTCGAACTGTTTTATATAGTTGTTCCATGACGATTTTCCGTTGAAAGTTGGGATTTTCAGTCTCTAGATGAGAGAGTTGCCTTCAGAGGCAACAAAGCCTCTACTTGCTACAAATATCGGCGGTGTTTTCAACTTACATTTTAAATCGTCGTCTTTTGTCTCTACTTTAATTGGTTTGTTTCGTCTCTCTGCTGTCCCTGTTGAAAAATAAAGACATCTGTCTATCCAACTCTTTCATATCATCTTCGAAAACTAAAATATCGGTAGCACCTCGATTTTTCAACGACAATATTTTATCGTCAAAGTTAGAAGTGACCTTGGACTTTTTGCAAGGAGACTGCTTAAATTTACCTGTTCCCGAATAAATAAAGGCACGTGTATACTTTACAGTGAATCTGGTTAAGATGTTTCAATTTCATGTGATCTTCTCCATTATTTCTGTAAGAGCCAGGATGGCAGTATCATCAGTAAATTTTGTGTAAGTTCAGTATCGTGTTCAAGATTAGGAATATTATTGGTGTACAGTAGGCAAAGTATTGGACCTGGTATACTGTCTTGTGGTACCACTGCCTTAATTTCTGTTAGCTTAGAATATGCATTTTGTTTTATTCTAAAATGAACTTCTCGTCAACTCCCGGGCTTTATTGTTTTTCTGGGACTTAATAGCTTCGAGAACTTCCTCTATGGTTGGAGCTTCTACTTCAACTTCGTTCTCTTCTACATGGTTCGTACCCATTTCATCTTCCATATCTACTTGTGTTCCAAGTAGGGTCTGAAAATAATGCTTCCAGGTTTCTGTGACTTTCTGTTGGTCACTGATTATTTGCCCACTTTCATCTTTGCATAGGCTTGTTTGAGGTTTATATCCACTTTTTATCTTTTTTAGGTATTCGTAAGCTCCTCTAATTTCATTTTTTTTGAAATTTTGTTCCATTTCTTCTATTTGTCCATTTTCATAAGCTCTCTTTTTGTTTCTGCATATCTTGTCTGCTTTCCGTCTTGCGACTTCAAATGATGTTCGTCTTTCCCGTGTTCTTCTTGTTATGTACATTTTGTGCGCTTCGTTTCTTTCTTCTATCGCTTGCCTGCACTCGTTATCAAACCATGTTCCTCTTCTCTTCTTTTTCTTGTTTCCCACGGTGGACGCTGCTGCTGTCCGCACTGCTGTTTTGATATTATTCCATTTGCTCTCTATGGAGTGCAGTTCTTGTGTCCTTAGCTCATTTGTGACTTCTTGCTCGAACTTCTCTCTACATTCCTGAGTCTTCAGTTTTTCCAGGTCTAGTTTGTTTGTTCTTTGTTGTCTTTCGTTTCTTTCTCTGTTAACTCTGCACCTAAATTTGGTTTGCAGTAAAAGATGGTCTGATCCACAGCATGCTCCTCGTCGTGTTCTCACATCAGAGATACTACTGGCTGCCCTTTTGTCTATCATCACATGGTCAATTTGATTGGTTGTGGTTCCATCTGGTGAGATCCACGTCATTTTGTGTATGTCTTTATGTGGGAAGCATGTGGAACTTATAACCATGTTTTTACTGGTGGCAAAATTTATCAAAAACTCCCCATTCTCGCTTGTTTCATTGTGCAGTGAGTATTTCCCTGTTGTGCCATAGAACTGCGGTTCCTTGCCTATTTTGGCATTCATATCACCCATTATAACCTTAATGTCAATTCTACGCTTGCTGGATAGCCCAAATTTGACAAAATGCCCCTGATGATGATGTAGATAGCGAAAGTACTTGGGCAAGATTTGATTAAACTTGTGCTCGATATTTGCCTTAATTTTTTCAAAGTTTATTTATTCGAACATTCAACCTCATATCAATTATTTGTTCTAAAATGTCTATCCGATATATAAGATTTAGTTCTCTCAATCTAGGTCAGACCTAGGAAGATAGCGAAGCAAAATTTCCTTTCCTTTAATGCCTTTTCAACGATGTCTATGATTCTATGCACCTATTTGACAGTTTGGCAGCTATAAAATAACTAATATTTTAAATATTTTTAAACATTAACAAAACTTAAACTAATATTCATTTAAATAGTGCATATCTCACTTTAGACACTTATCGATATTAGCTTTTAATGGGTAATATACAAAGAAATTATTAACAACTTTCTTTGTCACTAGCCTATGAAGCAAATTTTCGGGTTATTTTCTCTATGATTACAGACGCAAGTCAGTTTAAGGGCGTTGTAGAAGCAAGTCAGTTTAAGAGGGCTGTATTCTCTGGTGGATTACCACCATTTTAATAAACTACTGAGTGGTCTGGAGGGTGATTAATTTCGACCCAAATCGCTCTAAATAGTTAAAAAGACGTTTCTGTTCTAATTGATTGCAATAGCTACACGATTAATCCTTAGAGAAAGCGAAGCAGCAAGGTCGGTGTGAAATTTACGTTTTAGCTGGGGATTTTGTGTATTATTGAAATCCCTTCGCATATACGCACGAGAAGATCAGTAAATAGAACGTCTTAAACATGAATAATGTACATAATGAATTTGGCCGATACATCATTATATATTAAATTCATGTGCACTTTGCTAATTAAGTACTTTATACTTTCATTGAGTATTATAGTAAGTCATTAGAAAAAAAATGAAAACAGTGTTTATATTATGCTAATAGTATTAATTATGGAGTAGTCCAAATAAAAAACACAAAAATCAAATAGACTTCATACTTGTGCGGAGAAGATGGAAAATCTTAGTAATAAATATAAAAACTATGCCTGTGAATCAGATCATAAACTGCTAAAGTAGCCCAGGCTGCGCCTGCGGGGGAAAAAGTACTCTCTAATTCAGGAATTTATGTATTGTGGTCTAGGTTATAAAAGACAACCTCAGGAACCATCCCCCAGTTGATTCAACAAAAAATTTTTGGTTATTGTTTATTTATGAGCGTTTATAGGTGCAAAATACGTAAATTTTTTTTTCATTTTTTGCCTAAACTAAGTGTTTTAATGGATAATTTCTGTATAGATTATGATAGTACTCTAACAGACCTTCAATTGGAGCGTATACGTTCAATTTAATTTATTTGTTATTGCAAAAATGACGAATGAAGGTCAAAATTAAAAAAGTAATATTTATTATATAATAATTATATAAGTGAATTGTATAATGATGATAGACCCGAAAACTCGAGGCTTCAGTTGAAGGTGAAGGACCAGAAATACTAAAATCAGAAATACTGCATGCTATAAAGTTAGCAAAGAACAAGAAAGCCGTTGGACCTGATAACATACCGACAGAGATGTTAAAGCTTATAAATGAGGAGAACATTGGAATACTGGTCAAGCTTTTCAATGAAGTTTATTCGACTGGTGATATCCCTGAAGATTGGTTAAAGTCCGAATTCATAACATTACCAAAAAAACAACGTCCGAAAAACTGTAGCGATTATAGAATGATAAGCCTTATGAGCCACACTTTGAAAATATTTCTACTCATCATCCACAGTAGAATCAGAGATAAATGTGAAGAAGACCAGGATGAAACACAATTTGGCTTCAGAAATGGACTGGGAACTCGGGACGCCTCTTTGCACTAAATGTATTACTGTAGAAATGTCGAGATCAAAGGAAAGACGTCTTTGCTGTATTTATTGACTATGAAAAGGCCTTTGATCGAGTACAGCATCACAAATTAATTACAATATTAAAAGATAAAGGAGTTGATAGTCAATACATACGATTCATAGAAAAGTTATACTGGCGTCAAACAGCGACAGCTTGCATAAACGGAAAATCAACAGAAATATGTAAAATACAAAGAGGTGTCAGATAGGGTTGTATACTATCCCCCACTGTTATTTAATTTATATTCAGATAGAATATTTAAAGAAGCGCTGCATAATTTGGAATGGGGCGTGAAAGTTAATGGAATTCTGATAAATACAATCAGATATGCAGACGACACAGTTATTTTAAGTGATGACATAAATCGTCTACAATGTTTTTTAAATGCCATTGATAGAGTGGGAAAAGAATTTGGTCAAAACATAAACTGTTCAAAAACCAACACATGGTGTTTATCCGTTTAGCATATCAAGATGAACGATTATATGTTGATGGTCATATAATTCAAAGAGTGTCCAGTTTTAGTTATCTTGGTTGCCATATTACTGAACAACTAGATCCAGATAAAAGAATAAAATGTAGAATCGAGATAGCCCGCACGAAATTTTTAAAAATGAGGTCACTCTTCTTGTAGGTTCTTCTTGTAGGTTCAATGATAACTTGCAACTTCAACTTCGAAAGCGCATGGTTAAATGCTACATTTGGTCAGTCCTCCTATACGGTGTCGAAGCATGGACATTAAAAATACTACTACTACTACTACTACTAAGGATTTACACAGTTTTCACTGTCTTCCTTCACTCAACCGTTTTCTCCAATTTTCCCTGTCATTCCAGTCTCCATCTCGCAGGGTTCTTTCTCCATAGCCTCGTCGATTTCGTCTCTGAATGACCTTCGGGGTCTTCCTCTCTTTCTTCTTCCGATCGGCTCTATTCTGTAATTTTGTTTATCCAGCGTCCTCTGTCCGCTCTTCTGACGTGGCCATACCGTGGAATACTAAAATTCCATGGACGGCTATGCTGACAAATGTGGCAGTCCTT